TAGGATAATATGGAACAATAAGGTCTTTAAGATACGATGGAGCCTGATCATTAAGACTTTTATATGTTAGAAGCAGGATTTTAAATTGGATCCTTGATTTTACAGGAAGCCAATGGAGAGAAGCTAATACTAGAGAAATATGATCTCTTTTATTGGTTCCTGTCAAAACTCTGTATAAGCTGAAGGTTTTTAAGAGAACTGTTAGGACATCCTGATAATAAAGAATTACAATAGTCCAGCCTTGAGGTTATAAATGCATGGACTAGTTTCTCAGCATCACTCTGAGACAGGATGCTCCTGATTTTGGCAATATTACGAAGATGAAAGACAACTGTCCTACATGTTTGTTTTATATGGAAGTTAAAGGACATATCCTGGTCTGGGCAGATAGTGAGTTTCTGAGGTGTTTAGGGCCAAATACAATAACCTTAGTTTTGTCGGAATTTAAATGAAGGAAGTTAAAGGTCATCCAGACCTTTATGTCCTTCAAACATGCCTGAAGTTTAAGTAACTGATTGATTTCATTGGGGTTCATAGATAAATAGAACTGGGTGTCGTCTGCATAACAATGGAAATGTATGCAGTGCTTCCTAATAATGTTGCCTAACGGAAGCATATACAGAGTAAATAATATTGGTCCTAACACAGAACCCTGAGGAACTCCATAAGCAACTCTGGTACAGCTGGAAGAACCATCATTAACATGAACAAACTGGAATCTGTCTGATAAATATGATTTAAACCAGTTCAGCGCAGTCCCTTTAAGTCCAATCGCATGTTCCAATCTATGTAATAGGATGCTATGATCAACAGTATCAGATGCGGCACTGAGATCCAATAGAACCAGAACGGACACTAGTCCACTATCTGAAGCTAGAAGAAGATCGTCAGTGACCTTCACCAGTGCTGTCTCTGTACTATGATGGATTCTAAATCCTGACTGAAACATTTACATGCAGATAATCACATAGTTGGTTTGCCACGACCTTTTCAAGGTTTTTTGAGATGAAAGGAAGGTTGGATATTGGTCTGTAATTGGCTAAAACACCTGGATCTAGAGTAGGCTTTTTTAGAAGTGGCTTTATTATAGCAACTTTAAAAGCCTGCGGTACGTAGCCTGTTAGTAGGGAGAAGTTAATAATATCTAACACTGTACTGTTCATTCAAGGAAAGATCTCCTTAAACAGTCTAGTGGGAATGGGGTCCAACATATATGTTGCTGGTTTAGAAGAATTAACTATTGATGTGAGCTCTGAGAGGTTCACAGTAGAGAAGCTGTCCAAACAACCTTCTTGCTGCGAGGCAACCAACTGCGCCACCCTGCAGCCCTCATTCTCATCATCTACATGAATATTAAAGTCACCCACTATAATGATTTTATCTGCACTGAGCACTAAGTCAGTTAAGAACTCTGAGAATTCAGTTAGAAACTCAGAGTAAGGAGCGGGTGGTCGATATACGACAACTAACAGAACTGGTTTCTGCGCTTTCTGGTTCAGGCTAAGACTAAGGCTTTCAAATGATTTATAACTAAGTTTTGGTCTCTGGTTAATTCATAGATTTGAGTAGATGATTGCTGCCACTCCTCCCCCTCTGTCTGTACTTCTAACTAAATGAAAGTTAATGTGGCTGGGGGAGTCGATTCATTTAGACTAACATATTGTTCATGCTGCAGCCAGGTTTCAGTCAGAAACATTAAATCAATGTGTTGATCAGTTATTAGATCATTGACTAAAAGAGACTTAGATAATAAAGATCTAATACTTAATAGTCTACATTTAATTGTTTGTTTTTTTTGTTCTGATGATGTTTTATTAATCTGGATGAGGCTGTTATGAACAGCTCCTCTGCTGTTAATTTTAGGCTTATAAAATCTAGATCTAGATCTGGATGATCGGGGGGCAGACACAGTCTCTATAACATATATTCTAGGTGGCAGCCCTAAGGAAGCAGCAGAGAAGCGTGTAAGACTGCAACTCTGCTTCCTGGTCTCACCTCTAGACTGTCAGGGGTTCTGCTGACTAATAAATCTGGCCATATTTCTAAATAAGAGAGCCGCAACATCCAAAGTAGGATGGATGCCGTCTCTCCTAATGAGGCCAGGTTTTCCCCAAAAGCCTCTCCAATTATCTATTAAGTCCACACCATTTTCTGGACACCACCTCGACAGCCAGCGATTGAATGACGACATGCGGCTAAACATGTCGTCACTGGTCAACTTGGGCAGGGGTCCAGAGAAAACTATGGAGTCCGACAGTGCTACCTCATATCCCTTACTTTGTGTTAGTTCACAGCACACTGCAACAACACAAACAAGCTGTTTGGTAAAAGGCTCAGTCACACATCTCAATAAAAAACCACTGAGGGTAGAATGAATTAGAAAAGTTACACAAGGAAAGAGGAGCCACTATATGAGCATGTTGGACTGATGGACATAAAAAACAATTGATGAGGAAGCAAAAATCCCAACGAAACAACAAAACAAATGCTAAGTGCTGAACTAATAAACGCAGAGTGATAATTATTCATATACCATCTTGTTTATAAGCTGTAGTACTTTCAGGAACCTAGGTTGCAAAATGGGTAACTGTCATATACAAAGGCCGTGGTAAGATTAGATGCTTGATGTCTTTTCCAGAAAAACAGGATTAACGTATTGTGTAATCAAGTTGGGCACAGTGCGTTAAGAGATCCTGATCACGAGTACTACACATAGTAAGTGTAGCACATGTGGGATCATAAAAACAGTAAAAATAAGTTAGATTTTGAAAGCAACTGATTTTTTTTTTTTTTTTTTTTAAATAACAAAGTAAATTAAAGCCGCAAGCGCCGATGGACGGGTCCTCACCGTACGATTGTCGGCCTTCACGTCGGGGTGTAGCGCAGACATGCTCCGGGTTGGAGTCTGATCTGGCGTGTCGAGTTTCAGGCAGATTGGAGCAATTACTGGAAAAACCTAACCTCGAGTCCTTTGTCTTCTGGATAAAACTACTCTCCTGTATGTCCTTTTGTTGCTGTCTGTGTACAGAGGCACTGCATTCATCGCTTTTTGAGTTAGTCTGCATGTTAGATAAACAATGGTCTACAGACATGAGGTAAAGGTGTGTGGGAGATGCCAGATCCAATCAAAAGCAGGATGTAGCCAGGGCGTGTGCATGAAAACATGCTCTAAAACCTCCAAGGAGTTGAAGCGACAGGCGGTACGACTACCTTTTGGTTTTTGGGATGAGAAAAGGAAGGATGTGCTGGGCAATCCTGCACCTGCTGATGCTGATGACACTCAGCTGTCAGTCTGGTGCTGAAACTGAGACGGGGGTTCAAGTTAGCTGTCCGGAACACCAGAAGGCCTTCAGAGGTTCTTGCTTTGAGTTTGTGGGTCTCCAGCGCTCTTTTTTTAGTGCCCAAGCTTGGTGTGAGGAGAGTGGAGGACACCTTACTTTTATCCCTGATGAAGACACTCAACAATTCCTTCAGAGACACCTGGACTCCAAGAAGGACACGTGGCTCGGAGCGGCACCGTCAGCCTCCGCAAACTCGCAGTATTCCTCAACTGATAAAGGTAAGTGCTTAAAAATGTGGCAAACAGACAACTCTTGATAATTGTGAAATTATGGTTTCAAGCAGTTGGTCCAAAGTTTATATGTACCTTTGACAGATGAGTTTAAATCAGAAAACATCCACAATAAAAGAACAAATCGCTGGCAGAGATGAATATGTTTCATCAGCAATGCAAGAACACAGTATATATTAGTTGTAAAAATGAACACGCTACCAAGGATACATTTTGCAGTGCATTGATAATGTTCTTTCCTGTTTTTCCTGTTTAGTGACTTCAGAAAATCTATTCAATATTGGAAATGGGTGTGAAGGCTCAGATAAAATGCAACACTTTACAAAAAGAGGAGGCCTGAGGAATTATGGTGAATTTGTCCTAACTAAGATTAATGTTCTCTGTTCGATTCATTACCTTTTACTTTCCAGCAGTGCATTGCAAAATGACTTTACACACCATACTGAATGATATTTTTGCAAGAAGTAAAAAAATCTGCACTCCAATATTTAAGAAAACAATAAGTAACCTCCAAGATTTTCCTTTTAGTCTCTACAGAGACTGGAGACTGTGGCTGGAGCCTATCCCAGCTGACTCAGGGTGAAGGCAGGGGACACCCTGGACAGGTCGCCAGTCTATCACAGGGCTACACTTAGAGACAGACGATCAAGCACACTCGCATTTATACCTACGGACAATTTAGAATCACCAATTAACCTCAACATGTTTTTGGACTGTGGGAGGAAGCCGGAGAATATGGAGAAAACCCACACTGCACAGGGAGAACATGCAAACTCCACACAGAAAGATCCCAAGTATCGGGACGCAAACTAGGGACCTTCTTGCTGCGAGGCAACAGTGCTAAGCCACCTTGCAGCCCATCTCAATCTCAAAGCGTATTCTGAAAGAAGACTTACAAATTATTGTTGCACAAGGTTGTTTGGAAGGAGGGTGTATTGTACTACTATTTTACTGTTTACAGGGTATGTACTATGTACAAGAGTACAATTTGGAACAACAAAACTTGAAAAAGATTTGTGTCATCCATGAAAACTGAAATAAAACTTGTTGTTGAGAAGCATTCTACTATAAACAGACAAAAACAAAGTTGGTTCAGTAGTGGTTTGCTCTACTCTCAGGTCCTCTTTCTTGGCTGGATGGTTCACCTATCACCTTTTCAAAGTGGGTAAACAGCCCACAGCAGGGCGCAGCTTGTGGACACATACAGAGAAACTCAGGCTTCCAGTGGGAGGCCACAAGGGATTGCAACAAAAATCTGCATTTCATCTGCCAGTTTGGTATGTATTCTGACTCAAACACCAAGCAAAGAAGCAATCTGAATCATTCTATGATGAATTACTTCCTTGCATCGCCTGTGTATTCTCCCCAGAGGCCAGGAGATCCATTGTGTGCGCGGGTCGCAGCACCACTCTGCAGTGCGGCTCTGGTCAAGTGTTAATGATAGACAGTGGCTTCTACGGTCGCAACAACATTCATTACTGTCGATCCAGGTTCTCTCCAACAACATCCACACAACAGGAGTGTGGCTGGGTGAATGTCGTAGAGTCAGTTACAGGTAAAACACGGTGCGAATAAAATAATACATAATTGAGCTGTAAGTCTTGTTAATATAATTCATGTTTGAACACATAATACCTCACGCAGACTTGTAACTGCTTTGATCTGCACAATCATCACAGCTTCATTATGGTTCCTCTTATTTATTTTGCTAAACTCAGAAATGGGAGAACAAACTTGTATGCCCCATAAAAGGTTCTGCATGAATGGAAACTGATGATATTCAGTCTAATTTGGCAGAAGGGCTTGCCAGATATCACAAAGAACACATTGTCTCACTGCAGATCCTTGTTTGAAAAGAAGTAATTGCCCATTAGGAAATGTATACAGGATAAGCCTCACAATAATAGCTTACAAGCTGAATTGCCTCAAGGATACATAAATGATATCCATCTATTCAGAATAAATATTGACTCATGCATCAAACTGACAACAGAAGCGGATTATCCATCCTTTCATTTTCTGAACTTGCTCAGTGCTGCGGGGCATTGCTGCCTTTCCCTGAATGCACTGGGGAATAAAGACTGAGTACACTCATACAGAAAACACTCATGTGCCCACTGCACCTCAGATCAATGAAAATACGCTGGGCATATACAACAATGGATTTTTTTTTTCATATTTGAGTTTATGTTGAAACCATTATATTACTGTGTTTACTGACTCACTATAGCCAGCTAGCTGGGCCTGTTCTATTCTTACCCCTGCATGACTGCACATAGATACACACCTGACTAAGCCATCCAACAGGTTTACCTCTGCTAAGTATGAGAATGTCTACTCTAACATTCTACATGTATGCAGTACACAAATTTGCATTTTATTGGCTCTGACTGACCATTGTCACCACTTTGTTCTTTGTTAATGCTTACTGCTCACTAGTGCTATGCAGAACGACCAATACGACAATACAAGCGTTAATTTCACCGTCTGGCACAAATGCTCTAGATCTATAATGTCCTCAGTCAGCTAGTTTGTAGCAGTTCTTCATCAAGTGAACTACAGAGAAACAATGAGTGTAAAGTTTCTGATTAGCTGAATTGATTGTGTTCTTGTTAAGTCAGTGTTATTATGCAAACAGTTTTCCATAGTTATTTTTACCACAATGGAGAAAATGTCACTGTCTGAATTAAAGGTGAGAGACTGGTATAAATGTTATTTGTGACTGAACAATATGAGATGAACACAGCATAGCTCAGTGTACATCTGCCCTGCTACTGCTATTGGCTATATGCAGAGCGGCAATGCCTAAGATTAAACTATGCCAACATAGCTATGTAGGTGTGATGTGCTGACAATATCCATAGAATATATAAATTTTTTTAAACACACAGACAATTACTCTCCTAACACACACAACCACTTTGTCTCTTATGCTGCTAGAGAACACAAAAGGGAGAAGAATTCAGATTTGTATTCTGTTTTCTGAGCTAGTATACCGACCTCGATACAGTCATATTTATCACACTTGTTCTGAGCAAGCGCTCTGCTGTATTGTCGTATTGTGTTTATTGCAAAAGCACAAACTGCTAAGTGCAAAATATGAAGCCTGTACTGTGCCAGAAAAATTCCACAATGTCACAATCATTGGTGTTTGCTTATCAGGAGCTGATTATGTTCTGTATTTCCCAGTTCACTGCCAAGGCCGACAGATCTGCCAGATTGCTGAAGTTATAAACTCCTTTGGTGAAGTGTGTCCTCAACTGAAGAGCTACCTGTCTGTAGAGTACCACTGCAAAGACGGTAAGTCACAGTTCTAATCCCAGCTCACTTCCAAGCTTTTCTAAAATCATGCTTTCTAAATTCAGTAGAGGCATGCAGGTCTGAGTACTTCCCACCAGTTGCTTCACTTCATCCATTTTTTATAAGTGGGCATATCCATAGTCAACAGCTGCAGCAATTACAGAAGAAAATTAAAGGTCTGAACTAAGATAAAGAACCAGTGACGGTACAAGATGCTGTTCTTAAAGTCTACACCAAAAAAAAAAAACCCTTCTGGCAATCAAAACATTGCCAAATAATTTCTCATTATAATCTCTTTAACAAGTTTCACGTATCATGTACAGACAGGTGACATTTTAAACAAAACCAACCACATTAACTTTCATAGTGAGGCTTTTTTGTCACCATGTGGCACCAGAGCTGTTCTGGTGCTGCTTTGGCATTGGATCGCCTACATTTTTCCAATAGATAGTCCCTTGTTTGGTGCTTTGATGATGGTGATAGAGGCCGCTGTCTAATATGTCAATCCAAAGTCTCCCATAGTATTTGATTTGGAAAATGTGAAGGCCATCATATGTGATTCACGTTTTCATTAAAACATTCAGTGAGCTTTGTAAAGGGAACACTTCCATTAAGTGTTGATCAGATGATAAAGGTGATCACATAGAACACCTTTGTCCTTGTAGCAGTCTCTATAAAGAGACAAGTGGACCTAAACCATGCCAGCAAAACGCCCTCTACAAAAATATAGACATATGACATAGCATTCGTCTGAGGATTATCAGAGTCACTTCATCGCTACATGTTGGTCTTATGTTTCCATCTATGTTTTATCTCTTCATTGGAGCAGAAATTCAAGGAAAAAATAAATCACGTTGTTTCCATTGAACTAATCATACTACTCTGTTTACCAAATTTCCAAATCAGCCAAGCATAAAAACATTTTCTGCAATATTTAGATATCTGCAAAGGAAATTACACACAAAAGCAGGGTTATGAAAATGTCTTTCTAGTCACTCAGACAAACCCTGTTTCTGTCC